GAAAGCCCTGGCAGCGCCCGCAGCGGGGCCCTCGACCTCATGGGGGCCCTGGGCAACTCAAGGATACCCGGGCGCAGGCAAGCGGACGAGCCGGGGCACGCCGGAAGGAAAGGGGGCCCGGCCCGCCCAGGGGAGGGGGCTGGCGTCTCGGGAGCCTTGGTCGATAACGCCCTTAGGGGGGAAAGCCAGTTGCACCCCCCCCGCGGGGGACCAAGCAGGGGAAACGGCGGGGCCCCAACGGCCCAGACGGACTGGCGGGCGAACGCGGGGAAGGCCACGCGCGAGTGGCGACCCAATGGATCAAAGGTCAGAGCTGTGCGTTCGCGGGCCCCCCTCCCCGCAGTTTCAGCAATGGGGGCGGGGCGCCTGGGAGGCCGTCCACAGGGGCTTCCAGGATGCCACGGGCATCATGCTCTGTGGCAGAAGGGGGCGCCAACACGCCGCCCGTGAACGGGAGAACCCCTCCCCAGGTCAAGGCGCGGACGGCCAGGTCCACGCGCGCCCGGCCTGGATGAGCCATTGGGGGTGCTTCCACTACCACGGTAGCGCGGGCTTCCACGGAGCGCCGTTGTCCGCCGCGGCCAAGGCCACCCCCGCAGCCCTTCTGACAATGGACAAGTTGGAGGAGGTGGCGTTCGCACGGGAGGAGGATTAGCGCTGAGCCACGGACAAGCGGGGCCCTCCCAGGGAGGACAAGCACAAAAGGAAAGCACTTCCCGGGGACGGCGCCGGGGTTCGCGCGCCGACGGACCCAGGCAGCGACCTGGAGTGCGCGAGCCCGGGCAGGGGCCCTCACCGCATTCGGAGGGCAGAGAGCAACCCCCCCAGCGTTGAACGACGAGGAAGATGACAGGCGCCCCTGCGGCTCAGCATTAATGCGCACCTCGGTGCAGAAGGGGCTGGTCGTCCGCTGGGAGGTGTCCGAGGACGCCATCCGCGTGGAGGACGACTTCGACCCCGCCGAGGAAGTCCTCTCTGAGTGCCTGCGGGACTTCGCGGAGCGGGATATCGGGGACTGCCACTGGAAGGCACCCCACCCCAACTTGCAGAATTGGCTTCACACCCAGGCACTCGCTGGTAACTCCGAGCAGAAGGGGCGGCAGCAGATCGGATGGGAAATTTCACGGGCCCGGGAGGGGGCTGCACGGGATGCGTGAGGGTTTGGGGGTTGTTAGCACCCCCAGACGACGCGCGTCGTGGACCGGGACACGGGGACCTGCTCCAGGGGACGGATGACGATGGGGCGCCAAGGAACCCCTGGGCGGAATTCATTTGAGCCGGGGCACCTTTGCGGGCGCGCCTGCCCGAAGGGCGGCGCGCGCCCCCCAAACAAATTTTTGTGCGCGCGTCATAGCGCCTGCGAAGCAACCCTTGGATGCGGGGTTCAACCTCCCGTGGAATGGCGCGGGCGCCCGAGGAGCCCCGGCGCGCGCCCAGCGTGCGCTGTCGCTTCGGGGGAACAGACAGGCGTGGCGTGGGCCCTTACGGGCTGGAGGGCGGGGGTCCAAGATGGATTCATCCTGTTGGCCACCAGTAAAATAAGGACCACCCAACTCTCCCTGTCCCTCCCCCGGTAGAGAGTGGGTTTGTCAGGAAGGATTTGTGTGCATGTATGCGTGTATGTGTGCATGTCGGTATGTGTGTCTGTCTCTGTGCATATGTATGTTCGTGCGTGTATGTGTCTGTGTGTTTGTGCGCCTGTGCGTTCGCATTGTTCGACGTTCATCGCCCGAACAGTTTGTTGTGTTGGCTGCGTGCGACCGGAAATTGTGTTTATGTGTGCGCATGTGTGTGCAGGTTTGTGTATGCGTGCGTGTGTGTGCGCACGTACTTGTCACAGCTTGCCATTCTACCTACAAGGCAGGACCGAGCAAGGCTTGTGTTGCCAGTTCTTCGGTGCATGAAACAAGTGCGTAGCGTGTATGTGCGTTCACGATGTCAGTTATTGATGCCTTTATTTGGCGTGTGTTGTTGGTGTCGCTTCTTACTGTGTTTGATTGATGTTCCATGCCAGCGTTTCGGTGCAAGTCCAGAACATAGCTGAAGACGACCCATATTCTTTCCAGGACGGGGGGACAGGCGGCGGTTGCCGAGGCGTTGCCAACACTCTGCCGTCTCTTATTCCCAACCATCCCGTGGTGTTGGGTCCTCTTTTTGAAAACGCATCGCCCCGCGTTTCCTTCCCTCCCGCTGCCCCCCGCCTTGTTCCCTGCCCCTGTCCTCTGCAGTTTCTGCTTCGGCACACCATTCACACGCTTCGTGGCCCCAGGGGCAGCTCCACCGAAGGCCCCAGTGGGTGCGGACCCCTCGCACATTTCGTGGCCCCGGAGGAGGCTCCACCTGAGACCCCAGTGGGTAGATTCGCATGCCTTCTCCGCACCATTTCGGCGCACACCTCACACATGTTGTGGCCTCTCAAAAAAATCACCTAGGACCCCAGTGGCTAGGTTCGCATGCCTTCTCCGCACCATGTGGTACCCGTACGACTTGTGGAATTTGCGGGACTTGTCCAGCATGTGGGAGTTGTGCCACTTGAGGTGTGTGTGTGTGTGTGTGTGTGTGGGGGGCGTTTGGGCCTTGTGGGTTTGCGGGACCTGTACGACCTCTGCGACTTGTACGACGTTGGAGACCTGTGAGGCTTAGAAGACTTGTGCGACTTGTGGGGCGTGTGCGGTTTGTAGGGCCTGAGGGAGCTGTGAAACTTTGTCAGACTTGTGGGTCCTGTTCTTGGGTCCCAGGACTGTCAGTGATACCAGGACGCGAAGTTGCCAAGAGGCCCAGGTATGAGCGCGAAATCAGGCCCAGGAGCTGAGCTCTGAGAGCACGAAGAGCACGAATGGGCATACAGTTGGCTCCGAAGATGTCAAGCGAGTTCCAACAGTTGAGTTTTGGGAGCACAAAGGGGCCGAAGTGGCCTACAGTTGGCTCCCAGGAGCTGAGTCCTGCAAGCATGAAGAGCCCAGAGTGGTTTGCGGTTGGTTACGGACATGCAAAATCAGGCCACGGAATGGAGTTCTGTGAATTCGATGAGCACGAAGTGGCTTACAGCTTGTTCCGGCGGACGCTTGACATCAAGATTGGAAATCGGAGGTGAGGGGGTGAGATCGAAGTGGAACGGAGAGCCCCCCTACCGGGAAATCGATTTCGGTTTCGTGTTCGTGCGTGCCGTGCGTGCGGGCGAGGCGAAGCTGCGTGGGCGGGCGAGAGGAAAATCTCCTGTGGCTGAGGCGCGGCCGGACCAAATGATTCTCCACCAGGCGGCCGGTGGCGCGCGGTGTCCCGCCGGTGTCCCGCCGGTGTCCCGTCGGTGTCCCGTCGGTGTCCCGATGATGATGATGTTGATGTTGATGATGTGATGATGATGATGATGATGATGATGATGATGATGATGATGATGATGATGATGGTGCTGATGATGATGGTGATGATGATATCGATAGAGAGACCGAATGTGATATTGATAGTGAGACCGAATGTGAGATCGATTGTGAGATCGATTGTGATATCGATAGTGACATCGATAGTGAGACCGAACGTGAGATTGATTGTGAGATCGATTGTGAGATCGATAGTGAGATCGATTGTGAGATCGATTGTGATATCGATAATGAGATCGATAGTGAGATCGATAGTGAGATCGATAGTGAGATCGATAGTGAGATCGATAGTGAGATCGATAGTGAGACCGAATGTGAGATCGATGGTGAGATCGATAGTGATATCGATAGTGAGATCGATAGTGAGACCGAATGTGAGATCGATAGTGAAATCGATAGTGAGACCGATAGTGAGATCGATAGTGAGATCGATTGTGATATCGATAATGAGGTCGATAGTGAGACCGAATGTGAGATCGATTGTGAGATCGACAGTGAGATCGATAGTGAGACCGAATGTGAGATCGATTGTGAGATCGATTGTGAGATCGATAGTGACATCGATCGTGAGATCGATAGTGAGACCGAATGTGAGATCGATAGGGAAATCGATAGTGAGACCGAATGGGAGATCGATAGTGAGATCGATAGTGAGACCGAATGTGAGATCGATAGTGAGATCGACAGTGATATCGAGAGTGAGATCGATCGAGTGCGACGTTGGTCCCTCCCCCCCCCCTCACCTCCTTATCACCCGAAGGGTGGTCGTATAGGTAATATTTGGGGGACCCGATAATCACGATCTATGTTTCATTGGATACGCCGATGGCCGCTTCTAATTGAAAACGCGAGACGTGAACCCCATAGGAGAGGGCTCCCGCCTGAGCTTTCCTCGCAATCCAGTCACAGACTAGGCTCCCGCTCAAGACCTCCTCAATACGAGTGTGTTAGTGCGTGAGTGCGTAAGCGTGCGAGTGTGGGTGGGGGTGCTGATTATGTTGTGATGATGATGTTTTGGGTGCGTGCGCATGTGAATGTGATGATGATGATGATGATGATGATGATGATGATGGTGATGATGATGATGATGATCATGATCATGATCATGATCATGATCATGATGATCATGATCATGATGATCATGATGATCATGATGATGATGATGATGATGATGATGATGATGATGATGATGATGATGATGATGATGATGATGATGATGATGATGATCATGATGATCATGATGATCATGATGATCATGATGATGATGATGATGAATATCGTGATGATGAGGATGACCTGGATCACTGTGTGAGAGATGATCGGGGTGGTGATGGTAGTGCTGAGGAGTATGAAAGGACGGACAGAGTTGGTGGTGACCATGAGTGCGAAGGGGGGACTTGAGAGGAGGTGGAGGCCTGAGCGGACTGTCCTGAGAAAACAAGAACCCTATTCAGGATGTGTGCCGAACACGAGTTATCCAGCAGCACGTGGGACAGCGCGACGGCATCCGCTGGCCCCCCCATGCGGCCTTTGCAAAAGATTACGCGACACCTGTTAAACACGACTCGAACCCTCAATCTAGGCCCTACCACAGAACAACTCATTATACAAGGAGACCTCCACCTGACATGGTGATTCGGTCTGAGAGGTACTGTGGACGCAGACGGGGGCATTATGAGATATCTTCCATGAGTGCATCTCTCAGTACAGAAGTAGCTCTTGCTGCTCAAGTAGTTAGGTTCGGCCCGGATCCTTAGCAGCTGGAGCGCAGGGCTCGGCGGCGATGGCTCCACGGCCGGGTGGCTGCCGGCAAAAGCTTCATGCTATCGTAAGTGCCCTCGGCTTCGTCGCAGCCTTGGCCAAGGACAACGAGGTCAATCGCTCCCGGCGGTTGCAAGACTCGGCGGGGTGGGACCAGGTTGCGTCGGCGATCAGCCAGGGCTATTGCGCCCAGAACTACGACGTCAGCTCAGTATCACAAACGATGGACGACGACCCTGCGAAATGGGTGGACGCCCATAATTACTATCGCGCTTGCCATGGGAGTCCACCAGTCACCTGGGACAACACCCTTGCCTTGTACGCCAAGAACTGGGTCGAAGTATTGCTCACACATTGTAACAGCTTGGAGGACGCGAAGGCCTTTGTCCAGGCTAGCGGGCACGAACCTCACGACCCAGCGGCTTATCGAACGGAGACCCCAAAGAACGGCGAAAACCTCGCGCTCTTTGAGTTCCCAGTCGTCCAGATGCTCCCCATGGACGAGACGTCGACGGTGGAAAGTTGGTACCGCGAGATCGACGACCAGTGCGCTAACAAGGGGCTGACACCAGGATGTGACGGAGGCCTGAATCACTTCACAGCTTTGGTTTGGAAGAGCGTGAACTTTATCGGCTGCTATTCGGCCAGCCGAGGAACGTTCAAGCTGGTGAGCTGCAGGTACGCTCCCGGCCTGGCCCTGGAGGAGGATTTCTGCAACCTGCCGAACGCAGGAGGGGACTGCGCGACGAAACCGGAGAACATAATGGTCCCGGCCCTCCTCAATGACGCGAACGGCCTTCCCCAGCATTGCGAGCCTCACGGCGTCATTGGCGTGAACGGTCTTCCCAACGGAGGCGCCATGGACATCGCTGGCCAGAAGGTCATCCCACTGCCGCTGCTGCTGTGGGGATGGCTCCAGCGGGCCTTCACCTCGCACAACCAGGCCCCGGACGCCACGCAGCTGCCGCCCGGCACCCTGCCGCAGGACATGATGGGGAACAACCTCCCGCAGGGCCCCGCGCAGGCGGCCACGCCCCAGCGCCTCTTCGCCGCCTCCCCGCCGCTCCGCTCGGCCACGGCAGGGCGCCCGACCGCCCACCGCGCTCCCGCGCTGGCGGCCCTGGCGGCCCTGGCGGCTGTCGCCTGCGCGGTCGCGGCCTCCCGCGCCCGCGGGGGCGCCGGGGCCGGCATCGAGGGCCGCACGCTGCTGGGGGGGAGCGACCCCGAGCTGTGAGAGCCTGCCGCGCCCCGCTCCCTTTGGGGCCCTGGCGCATCCCCTCTCCGGCGAGTGCCCCCCGGCAGCCTGCAGTGTTCTCTCCCCCGCCCCCCCGCGCAAATTCAGAGAAGCCCACGCCCTTCTGTTTTTCGCCTGCGGGCGCTGCCGGAACGGCAAGCCGCCCTGCACGCCTCGGTGAGGTCGAATCCTTGGCGCAACAGAGCTCCGCTAACGCGTTTTGGATCTCGGTGCGAGTGCGTCTCGGCATGGGCAGCATTGAAAATACAGAGCCTATGCTTTCGACCGTGCACTTGCCTCCGTCTTTTGCTGCGCGCGTGGGGGCTCCCAGTCGGAACGGCTTGACGCGGCTCCAAGAATTGGCCAGAACGGCGCCTGGGAAGGCTACGGCCATCGCTTTCGAGCACGTTCGGGAAAAAGTGCGAGCGGCCTGATTGATTTCATTTGCGAGGCTAATCTCGCTCGCTACGAACATACCTAAACATAGTGGACGGAGCCATATTTCAGATTTACCCAAACAATGGCTGCACTCAGAAAATACTAGCTCTCAGAAACTGTCCTTGCCCTGTCTTGTGCGGTCATCCTTTGGTGATTGGACCGCTGTGGCTTTGGCTCATTGCACCGCCATGGCTTGCCTTGCGCAGTCGGCCGTCGCTGCTTGGACCGCTATAGATTGCGAAGGCCTTACGGCTGGTGCCGCCGACCCTGAATGGCGACGACGACGACGACGACGACGACGACGACGAAGACGAGCGCTCTCGGAGGCCTCTTGGGGGTAGTTTGGAGGCCTCTTGGGAGGCTCTTGGGGGCCGCTTGGGAGGCTCGTGGGGGCATCTTGGGGCTTCCTGGGAGTCTCTTGGGGGCCTCTTCGCGCCTCTTAGAGGGCTTCTTAGGGGCCTCTGGGGGCCTCCTGGGAGCTTCTCAGGCCCAGGGCTCGAAATGAACATTCGGGTCCCCCGTCTGGGCTCCCTCGTGAAGCCGTCTTGGGGGCATCTTCGGCTGCCTTGAGGCCTCTCGGGCGGTCTTGGGGCCCTCTTGGGTCGTTTGGGGGCCCTCTTGAAGGCCTCTTGGGGCATCTTGGGGCGGTCTTGGGGGCGTCTTGGCCTGTCTTGGAGCGTCGGGAAGCTGACAAGGCGAGAATGTCGAAATCTTTCAAAAACCTAAGGGAAACCTATGGTTTGTGCCCCTTGGGGCCCTCTTGAAAGTCCTCTTGGAGGCCTCCTGGAGGCCTATTGGGGCGTCTTGGAAACCTTGAGAGCCGTCTGGAGGCTACTTTGGCGACTTGGACCGATACTTCGGCGATTCGGAGCCTTCGAGGACCGTCTTGGGGGCATCTTGGGGCACTTTTGCTGCGTCTTGGGGCTTTTCTGGGCCCCCGAACCGCCCCGGGGGGAGTCGCATTTGGGTGACCCCTCCCGGGACGCCCCCCCAGGATCCCCTGGGACCCCCCCCCGGCGGGGAAGGGATCAAATGGAAGGGCCTTCCTTAATTTCGTTGTGGCTGGCGCGCTCGAGGAGGAGGGCCCAGTGAAAGTGGGGGAGCGGCGATGGGCCTCGGGAAAGGGGAGGGGAGCGGCGAAAGCGATGACGACGACGACGACGACGACGACGACGACGACGACGACGACGACGACGACGACATGGCTATAGATTTGGCTGCCTGGATCGCCTTGCGCAGTCGGCCATTGATGCTTGGACAGCTAAGGCTTTGGCTGCTTGGACTGTTATGGTCCGTGTGCCGCCCTCGCCCGTGGGCGTTTGGTCCGCTCTGGCCTGTCGGCTTGTCGGAGGCGAGGGGGTGAGATCGCAGTGGGATGGAGAGTCCCCCACGGGGAAATCGGTTTCGGTTTCGTGTTCGTGTCGTGCGTGTGGGCGAGGCGAAGCTGCGTGGGCGCGCGAAAGGAATGCTGCCGCCGTGGCTAGGGGCTGTGGAGCCGGTTGTCCGCCCCTCCCCCCACGGACGCGCAGTGGCTGGGGGGTGTCTCGTCGGTGGCGCGTTGGTGTCCCGTCGGCGTCCCGTCGGTGGCATTGTTGTCCCGACGGTGGCTCCGGGTGTCCAGTGTCTCGATGGTAGCTCGTGAGATCAGTTGTGAGATCGATCTTGAGACCGAAAGTGGGATCTATTGAGTGATCGATCGTGATTGTGAGATCGGTCGTGGGATCGAGAGTTCGATAGTGACACAGACAGTGAGATCGATCGTGATATCGAAAGTGAGATCGATGGTGTCCCGAGTGTCCTCATGGTGTCCCGATGTGAAATCGGTACTGAAGCGATAGTGGCATCGATTGTGAGATCGATCGAGTGAGATCGATAGTGAGATCGAGCGAATGAGATCGATAGTGACATCGACAGTGAGATCGATTGGTGTCTCGATGATGTGCCTATGGTGCCCCGTGGTGCCCCGTCGGTGTCCCGTCGAAGTCCCGTCGCTGTCAAGTGGTGACCCGTGGTAGGATCGATAGTGAGATCGATCATGAGACCGACAGTAGGATACTAGTGAGATCTAGAGTAAGATCGATCGAGTGAGAGCGATAGCGAGATCGATAATGAGATCGATAATGAGATCTCGACGCAGCATCGTCACCACGCGTCGTCGACAACTCGAGGGCGCGTCATCACCGCCATCGCAGTTGTCGTCAGTTGGTTCTTTCTCCCCCCCACCAATCTCCTTATCACCCAAAGGGCGGTTGTATAGGTACACACACACATACGGTTTCGCACGTCGGGGTCCACGCACGTGTTCCACATACGCGGCCACAGGAATCAGCTGTTTGGGGTGCACGCGCTGCCGCAATACATCGGAGGCGAGGGGGTGAGATCGCAGTGGAGCGGATTCGGTTACGTGTTCGTGTCGTGCGTGCGGGCGAGGCGATGTTGCGTGGACGCGCGAGAGGAATGATGCCGCCGTGGCTAGGGGCTGTGGAGCCAGTTGTCCGCCACTCCCCGGAGTGTCCCGTCGGTGGCGCGGCGGTGTCCCGTCGGTGCCCCGTCGGTAGCGCGGCAGTGTCCCGTCGGTGGCGCGGGGTGTCCCGCCCGTGGCGCGGAGTGTCCCGTCGGTGGCGCGGCGGTCAGATCGATAGTGACATCGATAGCGAGATTGGTTGTGAGATCGATGGTGATGTCTGTTGTTGGATCGATAGTGAGATCTGTTGTGAGATGGATGGCGAGATCTCTCGTGAGATCTATAGAGGATCGTCAGTGAGATCGATGCTGATATGGATCGTGAAATCGATTGTGAGATCGATTGTTCGAAAATGAGATCGATGGTGGGATCGGTTGTGAGATCAATAGTGGGACCGATAATGATAATTGTTGTGAGATTGACAGTGGGTGCGAATGTGAGATCGATACAGAATTCGATTGTCGCTCGTGAGCGCTGTTGTGTGATCGATTGTGAGATCGCTTGCGAGGTAGATGTGAGCTCGGTTGTCAAATCGATAAGTGTGATCGGTTGTGAGTCGGTCGTGAGATGTGATATGAGATCGATCGTGAGATCGACACTGAGATCGATCGTGAGATCGATAGAGATCATTTGTGGTATCGATTGAGAGATATGCTGTGAGATCGATGGCGAGGTTGCTCGTGAGGTTTATCGTTGGATCTACTCAAATCAGTACTAAGATCGATGGTGAGATCGATTGTCAGATCGATTGTGAGATGTGAGACCGAAAGTGCGATCGATGGTGAGATCGATTGTGAGATCGATGGCGGGAACGATAGTGAGATAGACAGTGGAGCCGAATGTGAGTTCGATAGTGAGTTCGAGTGGATCTCTTGTGAGGTGCATACTGAGATCGATTGTGATATCAATCGTGAGATCTGTTGCGAGATCGAGATGTTGATCGATGTGATATCGAATTAATCAGACGTTGGTTCCCCTCTCCCCCAACCTCCATATCACCCGAGGGGTAGTCGTATATGTACGCGTTTGCAGTGATTACCCCCTCGCACGCCCGCCGCTTGCGATGCGCAAGGTCTGCACGTGTTCGTGTACTTCGTGGCATGATCGAAAGAGTCTGCCTCCAGCGCTCGCAGTGTATCACACGGCTTGGCCAGAAGCATCTTATCCTATATTAACCCGGCCGTGCGACTCATGTCGAGGGAAGATTCACACCAGGTGCATCTTTGCAGTCGTTGCACTTTGGAGAATGTATTGCGGTGGCGAAGGGCCAGGGACCTGAACTCGTGATTGGAATCTATTGAGCCAGACGCGGAGAGCTCGTTCATCGGATTCAGTGGGATCTTCTATATGCCTTGGGCCACTGGGTGTCCAAGGGCAGCTTGAGGCCTCTTGGCTCCACACGACAGCGCTGGTTTAAAATTCGTCGCAAGCTTTAGTAGATTCCCCCGCGCGGTCGGGATCCTACTTCTACGCGCTGGCGGTCTGGTTAACCTGAGTTCGCGAAGAGCCTCTTTCAAATGTTGCAGGTCAAATACTTGGGAGCGCAGTCGTAAATTAAAGGGAGGGCGAGTTTCCAAGACTTTCCTTCTTCATCAGGTCTGGCATTGCCAGTGAGGAATTGGGGGGCTCCATGGTCTGTAGCGGTTTCCGTCCAGAGCCTAAGTAGTTCCCACAAGTTCCCCGAGTCAGTAGATCTATCGTCTTTTCAGCGCGCACGAGCTCATATGTGCAAGCAGTCGCCGCTAAGTTTGCAGAAGCACTGCTTTGAGAGGCGTGCAAGAAAGCTGCTAAAGGGTCAAATTGAACAGCTCACGCAGGAAAGACCTGTAGATTACTGTGCGTCTTTGGAAGTCACCCATGCGTGCACGGGGGGGTAGTCAGTCGTTGAGGATAAACCGCTTGTGTCACCACATTGAAAGAGGGTCTTCTGTGTACGCTTTGCTGGTGCGAAATCACAACCTTCCCCACTTTAGAACCGCCCGCTCCCCCTCGAAAATCCCCTCCTCCTCTCCAGAATCAGCCCCTTCTCCCTGGCGAGAACTTCCCCCACCCCCCCTTCCGAATGTCAGGGGGGAGGGGGAGCTCAAGTCCCCGCCCCACTCCCTCGCGTCGTCGTCGCTTGCCAGCGAGTCAGTCGGTAACCAGAGGCCCCAGAGGCCTCTGACTAACCTGGGCGCCGTACAGCGTCTGCGCTGGCATCCCCAGCTTGCGCACCCTCCGGCCATCACATTTTTGTCGCTGTTCTTGTGTTCGAGGTGTGCACAGAGTTCGTCATACTGGTCAAGGCGCTGCGGCGGTAACGATCTAAGCACAACCCCTAGTGAGTTGTTGAGTTGAGGGTCGGGCGAGCGGGCAGGCGGGACGCGCCGTCGTCGTTGTTTGTTGGCGCCAGGCGTCGGTCGGTCGGGAGGGGGGGACACGTCGTCGACGTGTCGTGCGAGCGGGACACGTCGTTGCCGTCGTCGTCGCAGTCGTCGCCCGGTCGTCGTCGTCGTCGTCCTCGTCGGCGTCGTCCTCATTGTCGTCGTCGTTTGCCGGCGCCGGGCGTGTCGTCGCCGTCGCTATCGTTGTCGTCGTCGGCTGTCGTCATCGCCGTCGTCATTGTCGTGCGTGAGTCCGTCGGTCGAGCGGCCGGGCGGGACATGTGGTCAGCGTCGTGGGCGAGTCCGTCGGGCGGGCGGGCGAAGCACGTCGCCCTCGTCCTCGTCGCTGTTTGTCGGCGCTGGCCGGGGGGCCAGCGCCAGGGGAGGGGTTGAACCCCCTCCCACCTGCGAGCATGCGAAACTAAATTGTTGACGCTTCGCGAATCCCCACCAGGGCCCGTAGCCTTGGTTCAAGCCATCTCACGGGCCTGGCTCCCTCGGGCCAGTCTCCCGTGCTCAAGGGGGCGCCCGTACGCTGCACCGCGGGCCCGCGGCCCTGGGCTCCCTCGGGCCCCCAGCGCGCGCCCGCCATACCAGCAGCAGCTCCGCTCGCGGCGCTGCTTCCGCCCGCGGCTCAGATCGGATCCGGGCCGCAGTCCCATGGAGGATCTGTCGGATGGCGTCGAGGGGGGGCGGGGATCACGCAGTGCATGGCGCGGGAGCCCAGTCACTGGTCTCGATCGACCCCCCCCTCAGATCCAAATCAGGCGCAGACCCCCCACAGGCAGCAGGCCCCTCCCGCAGTCGGGGCAGACCAGGGGCTGGCACCAGCGGCGACCACGACGGTTCGTTGCCCAGCGGAAGACGGCGGCAGTGCAGAGGGGGATGGAGCGAGACAACAGTCCCCCAGCGATGCCCACGACCCGCCCCAGCAGAGGCCGGCTGAGGAAGGTGAGACTGGCGGACCAGACGTGAACGAAACGGGCACGGGGACAAACGCTCAGGGTCGGGAGGGTCCTGTCCAGACCCCCCCCCCAGCCCCACTCCGGACCCCATCTCGATCCCCGTCCCGCCCACGCCTCCCCCCTCCCCCCGCCTAGGGGTCGCACAGGAGTCCGTGCCACCAGCAGCAGGTGCCATCCAACTCCCTGAGGCTGATGACGGCGTCCCAGGGGGGCTCCGAGAGGCGGTAGTGGATGGGAGCCCTTGGGAGGGCCATGAGGAGGCCCATCTGCCCACAGACGCGGAGAGCGCTGTCCACCCCCCCCAGAGGAAAAGCGCCTGGACCGCCTCACACAGTGGCGAGTCTCTCCCCCGAGAGGCCGCCAGACGACGATGAAAGAGGCGACCTTCTACATGTGACATTGCGGCTGATGGCTGCACCCCCCATCTCCAGTGCGAATAGAAATATGAACACTGCGGCTGTTGGCTGCGCCCCCAATGTGGGCGGAAATGTGAACACTGCGGCTGTTGGCTGCACCCCCATCACCAGGAGATGCAGATTGCCGCGGCTGTTGGCCGCAACCCACCTGACGGCGCAGCCCAGGATCAGCTCATGCCAACACCCAGGGTGGGCGCTCAGAGAGTCCTTGGGGCCTGCGAGAGCGCCCGCCCCAGGGGCGTGCCAGATCAGAGTAGCACCAGCACGGGGGAATCGTTGCCCGCCCCCCCTTTCCCCCCGCCCCACTCCATTCCTGCCTCCCTTCCGACCCCCCCCCGGCAGGTGCCGGCGAGGCGGGCGCCCCTGGAGAAGACCGCGATGTCTCCCCCACGCGCCCCCCCCCCCCCCCACCCGATCGGGATCGGGGCGGAAGGCGGGCGGCAGCCCCAGGACGAGGTGGATTGGGAGTGGCTCCTTGAGGCTCGCGAGCCCCGCGGAAGCACCCCCGATAACGACGTGCACAGCGTTTGGGGGGGGCCCGACGCGATCGAGGTCAGATCGGCCCCCGTCGCTCTAGGCCGCCCGATCGCCCCCCCTCCAGGCCCCCCCTCGCCACCACCGCCGCCAGGCTCAAGTCAGCGCAGTTGGGAGGAACAGTCTGACGACCTGGAACGCAGACCTCCCAGCTGCTGCCACGGCACAGGTCTCCGTAGGCCCTACTACCACCCCCGACGATGCGGCAGTCGCGACGCCGACGTGCCCTTCCTGGCCCCAAGGGTCGCCGACCCAAGGGACGCCATGAGAGGGGGCACCCGTGCAGCGCTCGCGGCGCACCACGAACCGCTGGGGGGCCCATGGAGAGGGCTCCACAGGCGAGCGGCGCGCAGTCAAGCGATGAGCCAGGGCCTCGAGAACCTGGCAAGCTTCTGCTGGCTCCGCCACCCCCCCTGGCACGCTGGAGTCCGCGCGGAGCCTCACTTGGTCGGGGACGCCCCCGGCCCTCTCAGGGCAGTTCCCAATCGGAGGGCCCAGCCGGAGCAAGAAACCTCCCACCGGCACTACGCCAGCGGCCCAGCCCTCGCCCAGCTCGACCCGCCCTGGCTTGCATGGTCCATTACAGGCTCCGACCACGAGGCGAGACTGGGAGGGGTGGGTCCAGACCCAGCGCAGGCGCTGGCCTTCCGGCACTCAAGCCTGACCCAGGACCCAGCCTTCGAGGCGGAGAGTCTGGACTGCGATGGCCCAACCGAGGCGGAGCTTTCCGCGGCCCACCTGGAATACGACGCCCTGCACTTTGCGCCCCTCTGCACGGACATCGGGGTCAGGGACCCGTCCGAAGGCTTCTTCCCGGCGCCCCTACTAGGGCTCACGTGGCGGCACGACGCAGTCCCTGACGCGAATGGCGCTGGTGACGGCCCCGACCACAGGGCCAAAATATGCCGCTACCTCATCCACGAGCATCGCCGAAGCCGGGTCACTTCCCAGGCCACAGGGAGGTCAGAAACTAGGCGGTGAACAGAGGGCAGTGGGTCGAGGCAGGCGGCGACGTCCTGTCCACCGGACAGCACGGGGCGGGACTTGACGGCTGGGCCGCCCCGGCCACCCCTGGCGCAGGGCCCCGATCCCCAGGCATCCCAGGAGTCATTCTCGAGGGCAGCGACGCGCCAGAGGGACCGTGGCTCATAAACAATACCTCGCACATGATAAGGTTCGGGAACTTCTCTCACCCAGCTGACAGACGCGGGCACTGCGGCTGCTGGCTTGCACGGGATCCCCAAGGCCCCATGTGCATTGTCTGCCACAGGCTCGCCTCCCCATGGTGTCTGGCTGTGGGCGGATTCAACTCCGGCAGCGCCGAAGCTCCAGGACATCCCCTCTACGCTCTCGGCACCCCGCTCATCTACCAGCTGGCCAGGGTGGGGGCGCGATGCGCCCCCATCACCAGCCACATTTGCTCCCCAGACCACCTACCAGAGACCGCCAGCTACTCTCCATCCTGGCTTATCTCGGAGCTACTTGCGGCATGGCGCCACATGGCGGACATGGCGCTCGCCTGCGGCGGGGCCGCAAGCGAATCCTGGTACCCGACCTTAGACAGGGAGGACCCGAGCCTGGGGGGCGAACCGATGCTCAGAGCCGCGGTGAGCGCCCTCGCCAGACTCTGCAGCGCCCCGCAGGGATGGGCCCTGGACGCCGCGTCACAAATCAGGAATCGCATCAGGAAAGGCCCCATCTAGCCGGCCACTGCGGGAGAGGGCGCCTAGAAACCTCGCCCAACTCCCCCTTCATAGCGGTGCCTGCCCAGCCCCCCGACCACGCAGGCGCAAGGACCAGTTTGGAAGACCTGAGGATGAGATCCCGACAGAGCCTTGGCAACTTCCCCACAGAAGACGCAGACTGGCTCCGAAGCGAAATAGGAGGAAACTTCCTGGACCAAGCCCTCGGCGTCGCTCCAGCCGACGGCCCCCCCCCCCAGGGCGCACGGCGTGGACGTCGAGGCAACGGAGGCGGCCTGCGCCGCCCTCATTGCCTCCGCCAGGAGGGAGGGAAGACTCATCGCCGACCACCTCGCACCAGACAGCCCCTGCGGAGCAGCCATGCGCCTCGCAATCACGCTGCGCGCCAGGCTACGAGGGGCGGGCACCCCCGTATCCAGTGGAGTCAACCAGCAAGCGGTGAGGAGCGAGGGCCCCGATAACCGAACGTCGATGGGCAGCAGCCGAATGGGGGCGCCCAGCTGCCCCTGAGAGGGAGGGCAGCGCACGCCGCCTGCTA